CTATTTTTTTTGGTTGCAGCCATCATTGTTGTTTGGCGGGTCCAGGCTGGGGATTTGAACCCACCACCTTAGGTGTACGTGGCTGGCGCCTTAGCTGGTTGAGCTATAGGCGCCGAGCCATAAATTCTTTTTATAAGTATACTTTTAGTGTCTCTACTTAGCAGTGTTTTCCAAATAAGATAAAACTCATAGAGATGATAACTGAACTTAAAATAAAAGCCAAGCTGAATACAAAACCCAGCCTCGGAATTCCAGGAAGCCCCGTGACTGCTCCAGGTGTCAGCTGAGGCCACAGACCCCACTGGCCTTACAGAGCATCAGCAGTCACCTGCTCAGGCCCGACCTGGAGGGCACAAGAAAACACACACACAGAGCTCACAGCCCCTGCTAGAGAGGAGGGTGGGGCCCAGGGGCCAGCAGCGGGGAGCTGGGGAGAGCAGGGCAGTGCACTCACGGTTATACAGGGTGACCACATGCAGGCAGTTGAGCAGCTGCCGCTTGTACTCATGGATCCTCTTCACGTGCACGTCGAACATGGACGAGGGGTTGATCTTTACCTTGTACTCTTTCTCCAGGAAGGCCGAGAACTTAAGCTTGTTCTCCTGGGAGAGGAAGATCAGACCCATGAACTCTCGGGCGCCCAGGGACGCTTGGTCCCCCGCTAGGCCCACACACCTCTGCCAAGTCAGGGACACCACTGGGAGGGGGCAGCGGGGCAAGGGCTAGAGCCGGGATGGAGACAGGGAAGATGGACCCATAGCAGGAATGGTGGGAAGAAGTGAAGATCCAGCCCCAACAGCACCTGGAGCAAAGTAGAAGAGTAAGCCAGGAGCGAGGCATGGGAGGGACTAAGGCATGTGCGGGGAGCAGGGTCAGAGAGTGGGGGCGAAGCGTGGGGAGGAGCGGGGCATGTCGGGGGAGCAGGGTCAGAGGGTGAGGGCATGTGGGAGGGCGAGGTGTGGGGAGGAGCAGGGCACATGGGGGAGGAGCAGGGCACGTGGGGGGAGCAGGGTCAGAGAGTAGGAGCATGTGGGGGGGGGGCATATGGGAGAACAGGGTACAAGGGGGAGTGGGGCATGCAGGCAGACAGGCCAACAGGGAAGTCTCGGATAGTTTCAGAGACCACAGTGAAGAACTTCTTCTGGGCCTCAGAGAGGACACCGCCACCAGCCAGCAGAGGACGGGGCTTGGCACCCTGCTTGTGCCAGCTTGTGCCATGGCCCCTATTTCCCACAATGTTCAGAAGGCTCCAGCAACCCAGCTATGTTGGGCAGCTACGCAAAGCTCTCCAGAGACAGAGAGCATTACATGGCTTCTACAGAACTGCTGACAGGGCAGTGGGTCAAGGCAGGGTCAGGGCTGGCCTGGTGCCTGCACTCGCCCACCCGCCAGTCACATAAGTGCAAAAGTGGGCAGGGTAGAGGAGGGCAGGGTTCAGGCTAAGTCACCTGGGGCCTACCTGCTTGACCTTGGCAACATCCCTGATGAAGGCTTCGTCATTGACTAATGGCAGCAGTTTCTTCAGTTGATCAAGGTCAGTCAGGAAGTCTTCCCCGATTTTCTGGAGAGCAGGGACACAGGGTGCTGTGCACTGCAGGTCTCAGGCTCCTGAAGCCAGGCCCTCTGGCCACCGCCCTGCTCTTGTGTAGCCTCTGCTGTGGCCTGGGAACCACACGCTCCGTGTGCACCCCAGGCCTGCCCTCCACCCTCGTCCAGTCACAGCTGAGCACAGTCCTCTGCCAGAGCATCCCCATCTTGCCAACTCAACATCCACATATGCAGACACCTCCCAGGTTCCCAGGGCTCCTCTGGACGCCCTCCATCTGCATGGCCACCATGGGTGTGAATGTGTGACCACCTCCTCCCCCTGGAACAGGTAATCACTCCAGACCTGGGACCTCAAGGACCCTCCCTGTGCAGCCCTGCAGATGCTTGGCCACCTCTCTGCCCCACCCTGCCTGCCTTGGCCTGTACAGAAGTTGTATCCCCAGGGCCTGTCCTCAGGCCTAGGGCATCACACCAGATGACTCCCTCCCACTCCCTCCATAGACCTGGGCCTTGTCAGAGGCCCTCCTGGCTGCTGCTGCACCACTGGCTCCAGCACACAGACTGGAATTTGAGCATGGTCGCCCCCTCCAGAGCAAGCATGTGACAGTCCTGGCACTGTCTTGCCAATCAGCCACACCTCAGCCCCTCCTGAAGCCTGGCCAGCTTCTGAATTTGCACACAGGGTTGCCAGGTCTGCTGACTGGTTGCCCCTGCCCTGCTCAGGGCCTCACTGCTCACAGCCAAGAGCCACAGAGGTCCATATTAAGGACAGAGATTCCTGCCCCCCTCAGCCAAGGCCTGGTGACACTGTGCAGGGCAGTTCAACCTCCAGCCGCGGTGGCTCTTGCCCTGGGCTCTGCCCAGCTCTCACCTCCACGATGACATCAGCCAGCCCTGGGTTGCACAGCAGCAGCCACCGGCGGGGAGTGACGCCATTAGTCTTATTCTGGAACTTCTCTGGCTCCAGCTCATAAAAATCCTTGAAACTACAAGTACAGAAAGGGAATTGTCACAAATGCTGTGACTTAAATCAGGTGAGCAAGAGGACTAAAGGCCCTTTGAAAGGGTCCCCTGGGGCTCTGGAGCTCTGCTTCGTTTCCTAAAGAGAACAGGGTGGTTAGCGCCACGGCACGGCAGGAGCGCACAAGGCCACACTCCTCAGGCCCGTGTGCAGCTGCGTGGTCTGGTGCCAGTCGTCACCCCACGGGCATCAAGACTGGCCGTGTCCAGTGGCCTGTGAAGAAACAGGCATCCAGGTCAGGAAGGAGGAGACTGTACTGGCTTTAAGGCCCAAGAAACTGGGGTTTGCTCCCTCATCTGTTAATCAGGCTAACGTGCAGCTCAGAAGCTGCTGGGGGTTAACATGTGGAGCCGTTGGCCAGTGCCAAAGCTCTGCCCTCCACAGGGCCCCCTGCCATGTACTGCCACTCCAGCTAACAGCAGGTGCTAGAAAAGTTTAATTAAAAAAATTATATATATAGGGACAGCGCCTGTGGCTCAAAGGAATAGGGCACCGACCCCATATGTCAGAGGTGGTGGGTTCAATCCCAGCCCTGGCCAAAAACTGCAAAAAAAAAAAAAAATAGGAATTCCGAGATCATACCCCACCCAAGTGGGGAATGGCAAGGAGGCCTGAGCAGAGGACCCCACCCTCCATCCAGCTGGGAGCCCAGCCTGCCAGTCCCATGGCCCCACACACTCAGCCAGCCCTGGCTGGGCCCTGAGAAGGTGGGTAGCTCGCGGAGCAGCAGGTGATGGTGAGTCAAAGCTGCTTGCTGTGTGGCCCTTGTGTGCAGGTTGGTGACGCACAAGGTACTGCCTGGCAGGGTTCAGCAGGCTGCTCCACAGAGGCACAGCATGAGTGACACACCCGGACGTGGGGTGCGGCTGCCAGGCATCTGGCAGCAGGGACCCTGGCCCAGGGACACTCACACAGACTGTTTCACGATCTCTGAGTGGATCCGTGCCACCCCATTGACTGCGTGGGAGCCGATCACGCAGAGGTGGGCCATGTTGATGCGTTTGCAGTCCCCTTCCTCAATCACAGACATGCGGCGCAGGCGGTCCACGTCCCCGGGAAACAAGGCTGCCACGTGCTGATGTGAAGACACAGAGAGCTATGGGTGTGAGGCAGGGCCCACAGGGACCAACTGATGGCCACCACTCTCTGTGGGTGCTCTGCTGCTTCTAGAAAGTCAGGGGCTGCTACCCCAGCCCTGCATGGCCCTCGGACCACCTTGCAGAGGAGCCCATCTCCACCCACCTCAGCCCAGAGACCACAGGCTACTGTGTCTGATGCTGGGACCCCAAGGGTGGAAGATTCACCATTTGATTCACATGGAGAAAGCTGGACGGCGCCCGTTAATCTGGGGGCATCAACCACATTATCACTGGGGAACAGCCATTTTTTCACCAAAAGGTTAAAAAGACAGCTATAAGCACACTTGAGTTCCAGGCTCCCCTATTCCTTGTCGGGGTTCTCTCTGAAAGGTACCTAAATCGCCTCATGCTGTGAGGATGCCCCTGGGACAGACACACCTAAAGCTGCTCTGGAATGGGGATCAGCTGACTGCTCTCCAGGGAACAGCCCTGGGCATCCTCTGCTGGACAGGAGCCCCTCTAGGGAAGGAGGGCTGAGCCTCCTCTCCTGGGCGAGGAGGGTCTGGTGCAGCTGCAGCTATGGCACTCACATCCAGGTGCCGCTGGTTGATGGCATAGATGATCTCAAGGTGTCGTGGCAGCAGTTTCTCGAACATGGACACGGGCCAGCGCTCCAGGGCCTCGGGTAGCACGGTGTGGTTGGTGTAGGCGCAGGTCTTCTTTGTGATTTCCCAGGCCTAGACCATCAGAACGTTCCAGCATGTTTAGGAGCATGCAGCTCTCTGGCCAGATGAGCATCAAGGACCACAGGCAGACACCATTCCTCCAGGGAGGGCTGCTGTCCCCTCTGCTCACCAGGCTGAGCCATGAGAATACCTTCATAACCATGGAAACCAGCTACTTAACACTTCTGTGATGTTCTTGGGCCAAACTTCAGGGTCAGAAAACACACAAGAAGCTCTAAGAAGTGTCCTATTCCTGTCCTGACACTCTGTCCCCACTGCTTTCCTGTCCCACAGAATGTCCACCTCCAGGGCCCACACCTCTCCCGGGGGACATCCTCCCAGGGTGCAGGGAGAGGTTCCCAGCCTCCTGGGTGAGCTCAGCCACAGAAACCATGGCCTTTGTGGCCCTAGGCTGCAGAGAGCATGGTCCTCCCTCACGAGCACGCACCTTGTCCCAGTCCACTTTCTCCACGTCCACCAGGATGCGCATAAGCTCAGGGATGGAGAGAGCAGGGTGCGTGTCGTTCAACTGGATGGCCACCTGCAGTGCACACAGGGGCTCAGATCAGCTGTGTAGTCCCAGGTGTGCAGCCCCAGCTGCCCCAACCCTGAGGACCCTGAAGAACCCAGAGAGAACCTAAGAAGGGAGTCAAGAGGACACAGCCAGCCCTATGCCCTGCAGCCAGGCGTGCCCTATAGCAGGCATGCCCTATGCCAGACGTGCCCTGCAGCAGGTGTGCCCTGTAACCAGACATGGGAGGACCTGCACAACCCAGGGCCCTGCCGCAGGGTGCTGGGCTCTCCCATCCAAGTTGCAAAGCACACCTAACTTTACCAGGGAAGCCTTCACAATACCTCTTACTGCCCTGACTGCCAAAGGAGGGACCCGAGTGGGGTCCCAGCCCAGAATGAGGAGACTCCCAAGATGGGAGGACACCCTGCTCTGCTTCTGCCCCTCCTGGGATGTGAGGAAGAGACCTCAGAGGCTGAGCTCACCCCTCAACCACCACGCACCTTATCGGGGAATGTGTCAAAACAGGTCCTCACAGGATCTCGGCAGCCAAACTTGGAGGACTTGAAGCGGCGGATGATGTCCTGGAGGGTGGCAGCCACCACAAAGTACTCCTGCTTCAGCCTCAGCTCCTTCCCCTCAAAGAACTGTGGACACAGTGGAGTGGGCTGGAAGGCATAGTCCAGGGCTTCCTGCACAGCCCACTGCCCGCCCTGGGGCCATTCTTGTCCCACCAAGGGCCCAGAGCGTCCACTTGGCTGGTATCCGGTGGCCCAGCCCCGTCCCGCCCATCTGTGCAGTCCAGGAAGCCAGAGAGGGGCACACAGCCCATGGAACAGACCCAGACCCAAAGTGTCTGGCCCATCCACAAGGGAGGCCAAGTGCGGGAGGAGCCGGGGTCAGAGCTGCAGGGAAACTGCAGCCTCCCGAGTGCAGGCCTGGTGGGATGCGGTACCCAGGCCCTGGCTCTGCCTCCAGTCTCCAGGGAGCGTCTGCGTGAAGGGTGCCCGCTGCAACGAGCCTCCCAGCGTCCGGGAGCCTCCCGGTGCCCTGGCCTTTCTACCATGTGCGTGCAACACATGGGCAAGAGACAAAGTTAACTAAAAACCGCAATGCACACCAAGACGGGCAGATCCCAAGGACCTGGGTCTGGCAACAACAAAACAGCCACCAGGCCCCACTCCAGGTGCCAACAGGGAGCAGGGCTGTACCCATATCCCACATGTGACAGGTTGGAGACCTTTCAAAAGCCTCCAGGCATCAATGCATATCAGTGCTACCATCCCCACTGGACACACAGGCCTTTGAACTCTTGGGCAGGTGACATCACCAGCTAAGCACACACGGGCTGGACCAGAAGGCTGGCAGGCTCTGGCCTAGCCCAAGGCAGAGGCCATGTGTGCATCACAAAGGAGGTAGAGAAGCTCCCAGAGACCTTCCTTCTGTGAGACAGAAGTCCAAAGAGAGCACTGGTGTACAACCTACAGCAGGAAGGCCTCGGGGCAGCCACTACGTGTCCCACCCACACACCTCACAAGGCAGCAGCAGGCTGCACAGACACTCCTTGTGCTCACAGACAGCCCCTGCACTCACCAAGATGCCCCTGTGCTCACAGACAGCCCCTGCACTCACCAAGATGCCCCTGTGCTCACAGACAGCCCCTGCGCTCACCAAGATGCCCCTGCACTCACAGACAGCCCTTGCGCTCACCAAGATGCCCCTGTGCTCACAGACAGCCCCTGCACTCACCAAGATGCCCCTGCGCTCACAGGCAGCCCCTGTGCTCACCAAGATACCCCTGCACTCACAGACAGCCCTTGCGCTCACCAAGATGCCCCTGTGCTCACAGACAGCACCCCCAGCTGACAGGTGACCAATCAGCTACTCACATTGTCGTTGGGGTACAGGACTCTGGAGATGTTCTCCGCCAAGTTCCGGTCTAGGACTGCCTCGATGTAGTCCCCCACGTTGACTAGGAGAGACAGGGCAGAGTCAGCACACCCATGCCCTGCTGGGGACTCTGGTGGCCTTGTCAGAGTGACTGTCACAGCTGCTCAGTGGCTTACTTGCAAAGGCCACAGAAAACTATCCATAAGTGCAGGGCGTCCACCCTTAGACGGACATGTGGCTCCTTCCTCACATTCCCATGTGCCCACACTTCCAGCCCCTGGCTCCTTCTTGAGACACATGGTCAGCCCAAGCTAACCCAGCCGCCCTGGGCCCCTCCCGGCAAGCCCCGCTGACTGTCCACTAAAGGCACAGTGCCCCAGAATGGGTGGTGGGTGGCAGGGAAGGTGCGAAGGCTATAGGGACTGTGGGCACCCCAGGTGGGACATGGGAACATGTGGAACATACAGTCCTGCAGCTTGAAGTCATTGGGCGCCTTGGCGGACCACAGCCTCATGGTGTTGACAGTGTTGTTCTTGTAGCCGGGCACCGGGGTGTCATAGGGCATGGCAAGCACCACCTGGCCACACACAGACCGACTCTGAGGACCAGGTAGGGGCTGGCCGCCTCTCCTCGCCCAGACCCTGCTCATCCTGAGGCTCTTCCCCTTTGCCAAGCACTCGGTCTCTGCCTATACTGTCCTCACACACGTCCAGCCCCATGTGCCATACCACTGTTGCACCTGGGGGGCCCACCCGGCCAGGCCACACCAATTTCCGGTGTCAACCTGGACTACAGAACCCCCACCCCACTCACCTGCCCCATCTCCCCTCTGCTTCAGCAATTCCAGGACTCAACCAAGTTCCCCCAATAGACAACTCCCTCTCCTCACCGCCACTGTCCACATCTGCCACAGGCTCCTCCTCCTGTTGGTGCCATGCCCAGCACCCCCGACACCTACAGCAGCCCCACAGAAGGCCTGGAGTGTCCTCTGCCACCCTCGACGCCCCATAGCAGCCCCACAGAAGGCCTGGAGTGTCTTCTGCCACCCTCGACGCCCCACAGCATCCACACAGAAGGCCTGGAGTGTCCTCTGCCACCCTCGACGCCCCACAGCATCCACACAGAAGGCCTGG